AATCGAAAATCGAAAATCGTTACGTTGGAGTGATTTACATTTGTAAAGTTTATGGCCATAGAAACAGCGCAACCAATCATTGTCAATTGTGACCATTGTATGACGTCATAAAGGCATTTTCAAATAACGAATCGGTTTCGTTCTGAACCGAGTAGTCATGACAACGACACAACCAATCWTGCACATTCGATTGTATAACGTCACGATTTTCTAGAATCTTTCTGGAATTTTTCTGAAAGGATAGCTAATTTTTTAATTCAATTAATTAAACAAATTTTTGAGTATGATGTATAACGATTAATCGGAATTATTTTTTCAACCAAATGTTTTCAAACGCTTCTAATGGAGGCGAAACAAGAGAAATAGATGTTGCGAAATTGTCAACTTAAGATAAAAATAAAGAGCCTTTTTTAACGTCTCTACTTGACGATGAGCGCTTTTTTAAAAGAGCTAAATATGCTTATCTCAAGAATATTATTCTTTGCCCCCGAAGTGCTTTTTAAACCAACGCCTGTTCTTATTTTAGGTCGACATTATCCAACAGCTTGTTGACTGCATTGTACACTTGCTAGAGATCGACAAACGACTGGCTCTCGGAGAATCAGTAAAAGACATCTTGCCCTGAGYATACGAACCGCTAAAATATCGCCCATTGTAACGACTTCAAAGAGAAATATCACCGTACGTCTATGGACTGCGTATTTACATTTAAATATTCATTGTATMAAATCTACATTAATATTCAAGAAATTGAATCTATATTTACCTCGCTATGCTATATATTGATCGTGCATTTTCGCGTCTTGTACATCCGTTGACATCTACACTAAAAACCGTTCTTTTTTTATCGTAATTTTTAATCCTGTTTTGGAAGTGAACGGTTCGTAGATTGGCGCCTTYAGTCACAACACTCGCGCTTTCATTTTTCTATGCCACCTAGAGTAGTGTAGTGGGATTAATATTGTTCCTTCGGGCTGTGGTGTTCGCTAGATGAAAACATTTTCTTCCAGGATCCAATCAGCGCTTGTCGGATGTTGGCTTGTTGGACTCTGGATAAGAGGTTTTAAGGAGTTGATTGAAGTAGTATTGATGTTCTGTTTCGTTTATATCGTTATTAAGACATTTAACGCGCTTCAAGATTCACTGTGTCTCAATCCTCTTAGAAGATTGGTATTTGTGCGTTGTTTTGGCTTGTTGAGTTTTTCCCTTTTTTCTATTTTGTTCCTCAGTATTGATATTCTATTTCTATTTCAAAATTTTTCTCAATATCATTTGTGCAATTTCTCTTCCATTTCTTCTCTGTTTCATTCAACTTTTTTTACATTTCTTTTATTATTTTTATTATTTTAAATTTTAATTGTTTAGRTTCGTGCCTCATGTTTTCGKKTTTTTTTGCCTTAAAACACTTTTATGACAGCATGTGGTATTCATTACAAACCCCATGTAATCATCATTACCGAAGTTAACCTTGTAATATACTGTATAAGTTCATTTTTCTTTTGTGTCCCGTTGTCACCAAAAAAATTGAATAATTTCTTTTGCCTTCAGTCTTTATGAGAACTTATGTAGTTACTTAACTTCCAGAATAAATTATTATGCGAAAACAAATCATCATTTCTACTTCGGTCGGAACAAAGACATCAAAAGAGGATAAAAATAATAGCAACCAACTTGTGAGATCTTATTTTGTGTAATTAATT